CAGGACCAAGGAAGTGAACAACAACCCATCATCCGAAGAATAAGAAGAACATGACTACTCTGAGGAGCACTATCCTCCTGCTGATGATAAATACAAACAGCTAGAGGATCGTTTGAATACTATGGAGGTCCAGAGGGTATCCGGATTGGATTTTGAAGAGTTAAGACTTGTCTCAGGGGTTGTCATCCCGCATAAATTCAAGGTCCCCACTTTCGCTAAATATGACGATGTCTCTTTCCCGAAGATGCATTTAAGGTCATACGTCAGAAAGATTCAACCCCATACAGCTGATAAGGATCTATGGGTGCATTTTTTTCCAAAAAAACTTGTCAGGAACGCAGTTGGATTGGTTCTATCAGTTGGAAGGGACTAATATTCACAATCAATTAGTCCATTAACAGTCCACTAAAACTTTTAAAAAAATATTCAATTCAATCTATTCATTAAGAATAAAAATCATCAAATCCATCTATTAACATTATATTTTTTGAAAAAAATCCATTAACATCTTTTTAATGGATATATATCCATCCATTCAAAAAATTAATTTAAATATATCTATTTATTTATAAAAAGTTACATTGAAAATTAATATATATAAAAAACCAGTTGTTTGTATGTATATTCGAGAAAATTAATTATTTTGTTCATAAAAAAAAATTCAAATATTTGGGTTTTTGGAAAAAAACCCGATTTTTTTTTTCATTTTGGGGAAAATCGATTTTTTGTATTTTTGGAAAAAAAGATTTTTTTTAGTATTTTCTTAAACAAAATTTTTTTGTTTAGAAATAAAAATCATTTTTTTAATTTTTCGGAAAAATCGATTTTGTGTATTTTCGGAAAAAAAAATCTCTTTTTTTGTATTTTCTTGAACAACAAATTATTTGTTTATAAAAGATATGATTTATATAATTTAAAATAATTTCCTCAATAGTGGGATAACATTGTCTAAAGGACATTTGCACAGTCTAATTCCTTTTTGAGTAGGTAGATGTTCTTAAGTACTTGCTCCTTTTAAAAACAAAACAAAACTTTTCGCACTCACACTCTCTTCAAAAACAAAACTCCTTTTCAAACCCACAATCACAAAGAAAAGCAAATTTTTGAAAACATAGTGAGCAAGTACCTAAGAGCCCGTGGATAACCACATATAGAAAGGGTGCTAACACCTTCCCTTTCTATAATCTACCTCCCGAACCCGAGAAACATCTCAAAAAAGAATTTTTCTGTGCTTTTGTCCTTTCCTTGTTGGATAAAATAAAAGACGGTGGCGACTCTTGCTTACCGCGACATTTTGCAAAAACAAACGCAAACGCGGACCAGCATTCCAAAAACAGTCAGTTCTATTCCCACCGATCACACTTTGTATGCTTTATATTTTATTCTTGGTATTGGGCTTGCTTTGATCCTCCACCCGGACCTGAGACACCTTTTTAGGTAAGTAGCAATAGATTGTGGAAACTGTACGGCATAAACCGATATAGTTGAAACAATGACTACGTTAGTGTGACGCATTTGTGGGTACCGGTATCCCTCGTGGTGAATCGAGGAGAATACGAGGCCGCTGAGTGGCATTATAAAGCACTAATTGACTTTAGAACCCTAATTGAAAAAACTTGGCCAGTATGACGTAGTGAGATAACCGGTTTCGGTGTAGAGCTGAAAATTGGTTGATACTCGATACTACACTCATTAAGGCTGGACTTTTGGTATATCTCGGCCGCAAGAAAAGATTGATTGTGCTGAGACAATGCCTAAGAGAAAGGTCGGTGATATTGAGATCCTTTAGAACCCAATCACTATTACTAGGACAGGTTGAGCCAACTAAACTTCAAGAGGGTACTTACCTATAAAACCCCATGCAAGCCTGAAACATAGGAACTTGTTTGCTGTGTGTGTATATACATAACATCATAAATATCATAAGCATCATACGCACACTCACTAACCATTTCAAGGATTTAGAAATTTATCTTTGTTGTTGTAGGTCATGAGTTCCGTCCGAAGAAACACCATCCGAATCAGCTTCGTAAAAGCACACCCTCAGCTTCAAGAGTTAGCCTCAAGAGTGCTCGGGGATTCTCCTTTTACCAAGAAATATGGTCGATTCCTCAGTTTGGCTACATCCAGTTTCCAAGAAGAGATGATGTGTGTGCTGTTCCAATTCTTTGACCCCATACATCATTGTTTCACTTTCCCGGACTATCAGTTGGTACCGACACTGGAAGAGTTCTCCATACTCTTAGGGATGCCCGTGCTTGATCGGATACCGTTCACCGGTCTAGAGGAGATTCCAAAACCTGAAGTCATCGCCGAAGCTTTGCGTCTGAAAAGAGCTGACACCATAGCCAATTGGGAGACAAGAAGCGGGGTTAAAGGTTTCCTACCCAAGTTCCTATTGGAGAAGGCTCGTTTATTCTGGGACGACATGGATTTCCAAGCTTTCGAAGACATCCTGGCTCTTCTCATTTACGGTTTGGTTATGTTCCCCAACTCGGACCAATTCATATATACTAATGCCATCAAAGTCTTTCTCTCTCGCAATCCTGTACCTACCTTACTGGGAGACATCTTACATTGCCTTCATACCCACACTATGAAAAAAAGATGTACTCTCTTGTGTTGTATCCCCCTACTCGCTAAGTGGTTCACTTCACACCTACCTCAATCAGCATTGAAGAACGAGCAAAGACTGACATGGTCCCAAAGGATGATGTCCCTCACCCATTCTGACATCCGTTGTTGTTCGAGATCCTTGGAAGATGTCTCTATCATTGACCGCTGTGGGGAATTCCCTAACGTCCCTCTACTTGGTATTAGGGGAGGTATCACCTACAATCCCTGCTTAGCTCTTCAACAGTTTGGGTATGCCCAAAGAGACGACCCTCATGAGATGCTCATCCAAGGTTTGGTGTTCGACTACGACAAGGAAGACATAGGTTATCGCCAGAGGTTTACACGAGCTTGGAGAATGGTGAACAAGGTGGACAGTAGAACTCTGGGACACAAAAACTTTATCCCGCTCAAGCCTTACTTTAGATGGGTACGGGCTCGTGCTCAGAGTCTCGTAATGCCTTACCCTTCTATCCTCCCTGTTATCATAGAGCCTGTCGTTGAAGGAGACGTCCCATACACTGTCCTTCATCCTGACATGCCTACCTCTCTCAAAGACTTGCAGAAAGCTTGGGTTCAGTTGAAGGAAAAGCGAAACACCTTTGAATCCCAATTTTACGCCAGTGAGAAGAAGGTTCTAGAACTCACCAGGCAGCTACATGAAGAGCAGAATCTGAACGCCTACATCGCGCCAAAGAGGATACATTCAACCTTTTTGTCTTAGGAGTTTTTGTTGTATTTTGTTGTAAGCCCAAAGAGGCACGATTCACTCAAACTTGGATTTATTAATATAACGTGTGTTTCTTTTTTTGATCTGAACAAATTTAAATCTCTAATTTCCTTGAAATCATTTGCATATGCATCTTCATTCATCATAACATCACACAGGTTTCTTACAACATGTCTCCTTATCCATCTACTGTTTATTTCAGTGAGATGGATATTGAACAGACGGTGAAAGATCTTCAGGCGCAGAACATTCAGTTTCAACAAATGCTCTTAACTCTGACAAAAGGACAAGAGGAGTTGAAGACTCTATTGGCCGAAGAGAAGAAGAAGAAAGCGAAGAAACCATCCGGTATTGTGATCATGGGAAGAAGGTTCAAAGGACAAGCCAGACGTACTTTAGACTTCATAACATCATCGGGCAAAGGAGATAATCAAGAAGACAAGACCAAGGAAGTGAACAACAACCCATCATCCGAAGAATAAGAAGAACATGACTACTCTGAGGAGCACTATCCTCCTGCTGATGATAAATACAAACAGCTAGAGGATCGTTTGAATGCTATGGAGGTCCAGAGGGTATCCGGATTGGATTTTGAAGAGTTAAGACTTGTCTCAGGGGTTGTCATCCCGCATAAATTCAAGGTCCCCACTTTCGCTAAATATGACGATGTCTCTTGCCCGAAGATGCATTTAAGGTCATACGTCAGAAAGATTCAACCCCATACAGCTGATAAGGATCTATGGGTGCATTTTTTTCCAAAAAAACTTGTCAGGAACGCAGTTGGATTGGTTCTATCAGTTGGAAGGGACTAATATTCACAATCAATTAGTCCATTAACAGTCCACTAAAACTTTTAAAAAAATATTCAATTCAATCTATTCATTAAGAATAAAAATCATCAAATCCATCTATTAACATTATATTTTTTGAAAAAAATCCATTAACATCTTTTTAATGGATATATATCCATCCATTCAAAAAATTAATTTAAATATATCTATTTATTTATAAAAAGTTACATTGAAAATTAATATATATAAAAAACCAGTTGTTTGTATGTATATTCGAGAAAATTAATTATTTTGTTCATAAAAAAAAATTCAAATATTTGGGTTTTTGGAAAAAAACCCGATTTTTTTTTTTCATTTTGGGGAAAATCGATTTTTTGTATTTTTGGAAAAAAAAGAATTTTTTTAGTATTTTCTTAAACAAAATTTTTTTGTTTAGAAATAAAAATCATTTTTTTAATTTTTCGGAAAAATCGATTTTGTGTATTTTCGGAAAAAAAAATATTTTTTTTGTATTTTCTTGAACAACAAATTATTTGTTTATAAAAGATATGATTTATATAATTTAAAATAATTTTTGTGTATTGTTTATTTAAATAGATCTAATGAATTTAAAAAAAATATAAAAAATAATTTATTGAATATTTAAAATATATTGGATGAGTTAGATGAATGATTAGATGATCTTTTTAATGAATTTGATCTTAATAGATTTAATTGGCAACTAATGGGCCTGGATAAGAAAAAGAAATATAAGTTGGGTTTGGGTGCCGAATTCTAACCTAGCGAAATCAGCATAACACAATCTGACGGAAAGGTGGTGAAGGCAAAGTTACGAAATCCTCTCCCCCAATTGTAACCTAGCGAAAATGAGAAAAAAAAGCAGAAGCCGTCGATCTCATCCGCAGAAGACAATCTCATCATCAGAAGACGGTCGATCTCAACAGCCGAAGACGATCTCATCATCAGAACACGGTGTCATTGATAAGGGAAGCTATACTCCACTATCGTTCTACATGGATTCCGCCGCCAACCACCCTGGCCCGATTTGTAAGGGTTATCGTAGGGGTTTACTGTCCTCCGAATCAATGGTGGATAAATCTGTCTTGGGCAAAAACCCTATTCCACTGTCGCTCTACACCACCAACCTCGTCTACCACCCTGGTGAATTAATGATGGATATATTTCTCGATCCCATGGGTGAATCAAAGCTCGATATATTTGCCGATCCCATGGGTGAATCAATTATGGATGTATTTATCAATTCCATGGGTGATTCTATGGATGATAGATTTGCGGAATCCATGTCTGATTCAATCATGGGTATTCGTTTGGATCCAAAGCTGGATACATTCCGTCCACTATCGTTTTACATTGATCCCACAGTCTCCTTCACTGGTCATAAAAACTATATTCCACTTTCCATGCTTTCCAACGGCACTCCGATGGATATCCAAAGCAACTCCTCTCAATCAAAGTCCAGCTTTGGTTTTAGTTCCCGGTCCTCTGGATCAAAGTCCAGCTTTGGTTTTAGTTCCCAGTCCTCTGGATCAAAATCTGTGGCAAAGCTCAGCAAAGACCATTCTCCACTACGGTTCTACACCACCGCTAGTCAGATGGAAAACACAGAGTCCTCCAAATCAAAGGTTAGCAGAAACTCTATTTCCGAAGAAATTGCTTTCTCTATTCTTTCAAAACTGTCTGTAAAATCATTGAAGCGCTTTGGATGCGTATGCAAATCATGGTCCGTTTTATTTGAAAACACTGATTTCATGACCATGTACACCAACCATTTCCTATCTCGTCACGGTTCTGATGATCATTATCATACATTTATCCTCGCCAATCAATATTTTCTTTATGATGACAACCACTGTTGTTATTACGAATCTGAATTCCATTTGCTCGAGAACGGACTCAAATTTAATTTGCCATCTCCATTACAACACTCTGGCGCTGATACTTATATTCTGGGTTCCACAAGTGTTAACGGCATTTTTTGTCTTGGTCAAAGTTATTTTCAAAGTGTTAACGGCATTTTTTGTCTTGGTCAAAGTTATTTTCAAAATATGAATGAGCAGTCCCAATATGTACTGTGGAATCCCCTTACTGAGGAATTCACGGTCATTCCTTCTAGCCCCACTCAACTTATACCAAAAGACCCTACAGGCTTCACCTTCTGCCCGGATTCTGTTTTTCACGGGTTTGGTTATGACCAACTTAGAGATGACTTTAAGATCATTCAATATTTATCATTTTATTATGATCGCTATCCTCGGCATCAAACAAGTTTTTTTGAGATATATAGTTTGAAAAGTAATTCTTGGAGAATGATCAACATGGAGAATCATATGTCTCATTGGGATTTTGTTCTATCTCGGTCATTTTCTGGTCTCGAAGTTTATGTGGATGGAGCGTGTCATTGGTTGGTTTTGGATTCTTTCAGCCATCTACATGCTATGACTCTCTTGTCATTTGACTTGAGTGATGAGGTGTTCCTTACAACACTCATTGGGGAAGAACCTTTTTCCCCATACAGTTGTCATGGACGCTTGACGCAATTAAATGGATCAATTGCTTTAATCTCAAATTATCACGATGATATTGTTTTTCACATATCTGTTCTGGGTGAACTTGGTGTGAGTGAATCATGGATCAAACTATATACTTATGGCCCCTTACCTTCCATCCAATGGCCCCTAATTGGATTTGGAAAGATGGGATATATATACGTTACGACAAAAGATTATGAAGTCGCCTATGTTAATTTGAACACCCAAATAATTGAGGAGTTTGGTATTAATGGTGGAAAGAGAAGTAAATTAATAATTGAGGTAGTTGGTATTCCCAGTGGAAAGGGAAGTAAATTTATGGCCGGTCTTTACAAGGAAAGCCTTCTTACAAGTAACTAGCTTTTGTTGTTGGTGTTGTTTTCACACGGAGGTATTATAATATATAGTCTATGTTGAAATGATCAACACCTATAACTAGCTCTACTACTTCTCCATTAGCTTCCCAACTTCAAAAATAGGTCTGTATATGTTTCGAAGAGGTATTATTCCAATACTTCATTAATGTATGTATCTTACCCGAGGCCAATGGCGAGGCCAACCGCTACAAGATCCATGTTTAATAAGTGAAGACCACTTTGAATGCATCGGTTCTCTAGGTTTCAATCTTTGAATTCTTCAAGAATGTGACACTAAAAGAAGTTGATACCTCACGGCGATACCGAGGATGAAACAAAGAGGTATTCCGAGGATCACAGTAGGCCGACTTATATTGGTCATCGAATTGCGTCGGCCACATCCCATGTAAATAGTGTTGGGGGCTACCATTGAGCAAGAAAATAGAAAAATAGCAATGGAATTCATGGTTCATTGGAGTCAATGAACAATAGGGTAGGGTTTGAGAGGGTTTGAGAGATAAAGAACTTGAGAACTAACGTTACTTCATATTATACATGATCGAACATGATTAGGGTTTGAGAGATAACTCGAGGTTTAACATGTCATTCTTCATATTATACATGTCATTCCTCAGTCTTGGCACATTTACAAAACAATTTCTGAAATATATTGGATTTTTTGAAATTTTTGGTAAGGTTTCGGAAATTTCATTAAAATATCGGAAATTTCGTTGAATTTCCAAGTTTTTATCGTGCCATATGAACTTAACCGGAAATTTACCGAATATTTCAAATTTCCGGTGTATTTCATCCTTATAAGAAACTGGAAATTTAAAATTTCTGGTGTGAAAAAAATCAGAAATTTAAAATTTCCGGTAGTACTGAAACTTTTTTTATTTTTTAACTTTTACCTGAATAAAATACACAGTGAAATAAGGAACCGACTTAATATATAAATTGAATAAATGTCATACATATATGCATTAAAAAACCTACGATCATTTCCTAGACAATTCTTCCCAATACTATGATTTTTACCAATAGATTATGCTCATTCTAGAACTTTAGCTCATAATTCAAAAATTAGACAATTACAACAATATATAGTTAGTAAACTTCATTAGTTTACAAAAAAACAAATAAAAAATGTGTAAATTAAATAAGAACCATACGGTATCTGTGATGAAGAACAACGTAAGATCAATTTATGAATCCGTAGAAGAAGTTGAAGCTACTGGTTTAAGACGGCAAAGATATAAAATTTCATCTACAGACATATAAAAAAAAAATTTCAAGTATAACTGAAATATCTGGAATTCCGAAAATTTCAAATTTCCAGTATCCCAGAAATATTTTAAATTTCCGATAAACGTTATCTACCGAAAATTTACGTAATTTCCAATGTGTGCTGGTTTTTGAAAATTTACACGAAAACTTTAAAATCACCGATTAATTGCAATTTTAAAATTTCCAATTAATCACAATTGGATTATCGAAAAATTTAATTTTTAACTCCTTTGACCTCGGTTGAAGGGTTTGAAAAAACCGTTCATTCCCTCTCTCTTCCTGCTCACTTTCTGTTATCTCTTTCACTTTAATCTCTCAAGTCTCACTGAAACGTTTGTTCACTCTAGTCTCTCTGAAACGTTCGTTCACTCTACCATATCACGTTCGAGTTATCTCTCAAACCCTAATCATGTTCGATGTTCGAGTTAAACCCCTAATCGTTCATTGGCTGTCCAAGAAACCATGAAGTAACGGTTCGTTCACAAATCAAGTTCTTTATCTCTCAAATCCTAATTGTTCATTGACTCCAATGAACCATGAATTCCATTGCTATTTTTCTATTTTCTTCCTCATTGGTAGTTTCTTTCACCGAAGCGCGAGATTACCACCCAGGTTTGGGCCTCAACACTATTTGCATGGGATGTGGCCGACGCAATTCGATGACCGATATAAGCCGGCGTACTGTGATCCTCAGAACGCCTCTTTGTTTCATCCTCGGCATCGCCGTGAGGTATCAACTTCTTTTAGTGTCACATTCTTGAAGAATTCAAAGTTTAAATTTAATTAATTTTCGCATTATTATTTTATTTAGATCGATAGAAACCTAGAGAACCGGATGCATTCAAAGTGACCTTCACTTACTTCGGATGATCACATCTTCTGGAACAACCAGTTGATTAAACATGGATCTTAATTTTATGAGGCCTATAAGCTTTTTATGGTGCTTATGTCAGCTGGGATAATTTTCCAAAGGGCTCTTCGAAACATATACAGACCTATTTTTGAAGCAGCCGATTGGGAAACTAATGGAGAAGTAGTAGAGCTAGTTATAGGTGTTGATTGCTTGAATTTAAATCAGCTATACCAGATTAGGGTGTGCAAGACTTCAGATTCCAATAATTTCAAAGATTGCCCTTATCAGGGCAATTGTCCTAGAGTATTCAGATATGTGAAGTACAAGGTTAATGAGAAACCAACACCACAGAGTCTTATTCCGAAAAACATCATTTTGATCATACCAACAATTGGCAAAGGGATGAATTCTAAGGTGGGAGCAAAGATATCACAGGTTGGACCCAAGCCGACTGGTGTTGCGGGGTTGAATGGGAGGGTGTATGGGAGGGTGTATGGGAGGGGATCTTATGCAACAACATTAAAAGATGGAAGCGCTAAGGTTAACACAAAACCTTTTCTCTTTTTTTTCCTTTTTGTTTTGGCAAAACTATAATTATTAACCATGTAGGGTTGGATTTATTTTCACGGTGATCGGTGGTTTGCAAATATCTGGAAGGGAAAAGAAAATGGAAAGGGGTGCTTTTACACTGGTATGCCTTTTTTGGCAAAGACAGATGGCGGCTTAGAACGAGGTATAAACACGGTTAATTTAATTGAGTTATTTCCATGCATTTTATTTTACAGATGCTAATTATATTTCTTTGCCATTATATTTCTTTGCCATCACATTTTAGTGAACCTATCAGTCAGAAAGTGTCTCCTTTAAAGGTTTTGGATAATGTCAATCTACTGCATAAGAGTAATAAGTCCTATCCGCCTCTATGTTGCAACAAGGTAACTTTCAAATTTTGCAAACAGGGATAAGCTTTGGGAGTCTTATATGTATCTTTAACCTCCATTGATCCATGATGTCCAAATTTAACAGGATTCAGAACTTAAGTCTTCCAATACCAGCTTAGGAGACTGTTCAAGATCTTTTTCTGGTTTTAGTTTTCCTGATGAGGACAGTTTAACACATGACAGACCTTTCTCGACCCTTGAAGTGCTTGAAGTGAGAATTCCACCTCGTATTGATAGTTTCATGTCTTCTCCTGAAAGCAATCTGATTGAAGATGATTTGGATAGTCCAGACTCAACTTTTGAGGATGATCAGCATCCAGGCTATGACTGTTCTGTAAAGGGAGCTCCTGGTAAGAAAATGTTTGCATAATATTTTGTTTGAGCACATGCTTTTATAAGTTAATGGGAAGTTAGTTTCATTGTTTATGATCGCTGTAATATGTTAAGAATGATTTGAAACTTGTTGATTCTAGTTGGCAACTAAAATATTGAGTTGTAGTTTTAGAGCTTATCCAATATTTTGAATTGCGGCCTCATTGATATCTTTGATATTGTGTTGAATTGCGGTGAAGCATATGTATGATTGGACTCTAATTGCGGTTGTAGGCATTAAAACCGCAACGTTGTGCTTAAAATCACGGTTGCATATGATTAGAATCTTTATGTAAATGGCATGAACTCCTCTAGATTAGGACTCAAACTTTGTTTCCCTGTCTTGTGTTTTTAGTTATATTGCAAATTTTCTACATGTTTCATTTCCCTGTTTAATCTGTTATCTTTAATAACATGTAGAATTAAACACAAAGTCCGATGATGCCTTTTTTGGCAATTTCAAAGACGGATGGCGGCTTGGAACGAGGTATAAACAGTTAGTTTAATTGAGTTATTTACCTGCATTTTTGTTTACCGTATGCTGATTATGTTTATATTTCTCTGCCATCACCTTATAGTGAACTAGATTTTCTTAGTCAGAAAGTTTCTGCTTCAAAAGTTCTGCATAATGTCAATCTATTGCATAAGAGTTATAAGCCACCTCTATGTCGCAACAATGATAAGCTTTGGGAGTCTTATTTTTATCTTGAACCTCGATTGATCCATGATGTCCAAATTCCAAAGGATTCAGAACTCAAGTCTTCCAATACCAGCTTAGAAGACTATTCAAGTTCTATTTTTGGTTTTAGTTTTCCTGATGAGGACAGTTTAATTACATATGACGGACCTTTCTCGACCCTTGAAGTGCTTGAAGTGAGAATTCCGCCTAGTTTCATGTCTTCTCCTGAAAGCAATCTGATTGATGATGATTTGGATAGTCCAGACTCAACTTTTGAAATGATAAAGAGTCTTATAGAATCTGTACTCGGCGGTGATGATTACGAGGACGATTATTATGATTTTGACAAGGATAATTCCTCTATGGCGGAGCTGGTCCAGCATGGAATGTCTGCATAATATTTTGTTTGTGTCACATGCTTGTATACCTTAAAACTTGAACATGTTAGATTCTCTTAGTGATGGCAATGGAGTAATTGGCAGTTTTGAAGACAGGAAACTGGGAGAAAGTCAGTTCATGGGAGGATTCTACTAGTTGCAGACTTTCCACAGCGACTAGAAATTGTTAATATGGAGAAAGGAATATTAGATGAATAGAATGTGATAATCCTTTGCTATTTTTCAAATTTTCTTGTGAAGAAGCCATGAATGCTCTGAAGCTGCTTTGTATAGATCTCCCCTAGCTAGTATACTAAGAAAACAAAAAACAAAAGTAGTTAGCTCCTAGTTACCACGGTGATATAGAAGTGTGTATATTTGAGACAATAGAAGGGAAAGGGACAAACGTTTGTTTCTCTGTATTCAAAGCACGTATAATATTTGTATAAATATATGATTCATGATATTGCTAACTAGTGTTTCATGATATTAAATTAATATAAATGATCAAATGTAATAAACCTAACTCAAATAATTAAGACCCAAAATGATTATAACATTTAAAAGGTATAATATTAAATAATTATAAACAAAAACAAAACAAAACAAACTAAAATAGAATAAAATACAAAATGTTTGTATGCTAAATAATAAAAGAAAAGAATAGAAAACATAGGGTATCCACTCCCATCATTCACGTTCAACAAAAAACGGTAATGGGACTCCAAAAACCAAATTTTGCTGTTGAGTCAAAATAGCCACACAATTAACCACTTTCTACTTAAATTGAAGCAAGTAATTTATTTATTCCAAATTAAAGAGAAAAAAAAAACAATTAATGAATAAATCTTGGAAACAAATAAATAAGAAAATGTAGCATCAACACTGAAGAAGTATCAAAAGCAAAGGTACCTTCCTCTTTCTCCAACGCAAAAATGCGGCTGCTCTTCACTTATGAAAAACTCTTTTCTTTCTATCTTATTCAACAAAAATCTTTACTCACCCACTAGCTTGGAGATCGATGACATCGCTACCTAAAGGCGGTGGTCGGAAAGAAAATCGCAGGGGCGATCAATGGTTGTTATGACCAGGGCTTAATGACGTGGCTTCGTCTATAGTGGCTGCGCACGACGGTGGATTCGTCGGTGAGTTTCGTTTCTCCCTCTCACCTCATATTCTTCTTCCTCCAAGCTTCTCCTTGTTTCAGATTTCGCAGGTACTGGCGGGTGAAGGTAGTATAGCACGGCGGATAGATCCAGGGTTTCAGAAATTGAAACTCGGATCTCTTCTTCTTCTTCTTGCTTCAAGTTTGTTCGTTCGTCCCCCTCTGTATACTGTTTTGTTTTCTTGCTGCAATTTTTTAGTCTCTCCTGTACTGTTTTTTATCCTCGCCAATCAATATTTTCTTTATGATGACAACCGCCGTTGTTATTACGAATCTGAATTCCATTTGCTCCAGAACGGACTCAAATTTAATTTGCCATCTCCATTACAACACTCTGGCGCTGATACTTATATTCTGGGCTCCACAAGTGTTAACGGCATTTTTTTGTCTTGGTTACGGTCATTCCTTCTAGCCCCACTCAACTTATACCAAAAGACCCTACAGGCTTCACCTTCCGCCCAGATTCTGTTTTTCACGGGTTTGGTTATGACCAACTTAGAGATGACTTTAAGATCATTCAATATTTATCATTTTATTATGATCGCTATCCTCGGCATCAAACAAGTTTTTTTGAGATATATAGTTTGAAAAGTAATTCTTGGAGAATGATCAACATGGAGAATCATCTGTCTCATTGGGATTTTGTTCTATCTCGGTCATTTTCTGGTCTCGAAGTTTATGTGGATGGAGCGTGTCATTGGTTGGTTTTGGATTCTTTCAGCCATCTACATGCTATGACTCTCTTGTCATTTGACTTGAGTGATGAGGTGTTGCTTACAACACCCATTGGGGAAGAACCTTTTTCCCCATACAATTGTCATACAATTGTCATGGACGCTTGACGCAATTAAATGGATCAATTGCTTTAATCTCAAATTATCACGATGATATTGTTTTTCACATATCTATTCTGGGTGAACTTGGTGTGTTTGAATCATGGATCAAACTATATACTTATGGTCCCTTACCTTCCATCCAATGGCCCCTAATTGGATTTGGAAAGATGAGATATATATACGTTACGACAAAAGATTTTATAATATATAGTCTATGTTGAATGATCAACACCTATAACTAGCTCTACTACTTCTCTATATCTTTCGAAAGTATTTCTTGTATGCAACTCGATAATATCATCTTCGTATTTCGGTATTATCCCAGCGGACATAAGCACTATAAAAGCCTCGTAAATGTATCTTACCCGAGGGCCATCCGCTACAAGATCCATGATCCATGTTTAATCCACTGCTTGTTCCAGAAGATGTGATCATCAGAAGATGTGATCATCCGAGTAAGTGAAGGCCACTTTGAATGCATCTGGTTCTCTAGGTTTCTATGATCTAAATAAAATAATAATGCGAAAATTAATTAAATTTAAACTTTGAATTCTTCAAGAATGAGACACTAAAAGAAGTTGATACCTCACGGCGATGCCGAGGATGAAACAAAAAAGCGTTCTGAGGATCACAGTACGCCGACTTATATCGGCCATCGAATTGCGTCAGCCACATCCCATGCAAATAGACCCAAACCTGGGTATACACCAGGTAATCTCGTACTTCGGTGAAAGAAACTACCAATGAGCAAGAAAATAGAAAAATATCAATGAAATTCATGGTTCATTGGAGTCAATGAACAATTAGGGTTTGAGAGATAAACATCAAACATGATTAGGGAACATCGAACATGATTAGGGTTTGAGAGATAAACATCAAACATGATTAGGGAACATCGAACATGATTAGGGTTTGAGAGATAACTCGAACGTGATATGGTATTCCTCGTAAGGATGAAATACAAGTGAAATAAAAATAAAAATTTATCTGAGGTTTAACATGTCATCCTTCATATTATACATGGCATTCCTCAGTCTCGGCACATTTACAAAACAATTTCTGAAATATATTGGATTTTTTGAAATTTTTGGTAAAGTTCCGGAAATTTCATTAAAATACCGGAAATTTCGTTGAATTTCCAAGTTTTTATCGTGTCATATGAACTTAACCGGAAATTTACCGAATATTTCAAATTTCCGGTGTATTTCATCCTTATAAGAAACTGGAAATTTAAAATTTCTGGTGTGTGAAAAAAATTAGAAATTAGAAATTTCCGGTAGTACTAAAACTTTTTTTATTTTTTAACTTTTACCTGAATAAAATACACAGTGAAATAAGGAACCGACTTAATATATAAATTGAATAATTGTCATACATATATGCATTAAAAAACCTACGATCATTTCCTAGACAATTCTTCCCAATACTATGATTTTTACCAATAGATTATGCTCATTCTAGAACTTTAGCTCATAATTCAAAAATTAGACAATTACAACAATATATAGTTAGTAAACTTCATTAGTTTACAAAAAAACAAATAAAAAATGTCTAAATTAAATAAGAACCATACGGTATCTGTGATGAAGAACAACGTAAGATCAATTTATGAATCCGTAGAAGAAGCTGAAGCTACTGGTTTAAGACGGCAAAGATATAAAATTTCATCTACAGACATATCAAAAATTTCAAGTATAACTGAAATATCCGGAATTCCGAAAATTTCAAATTTCCAGTATCCCAGAAATATTTTAAATTTCTGATAAACGTTATCTACCGAAAATTTACGTAATTTCCAATATGTGTGCTGGTTTTTGAAAATTTACACGAAAACTTTAAAATCATCGATGAATTGCAATCGGAAATTTTAAATTTTCTAATTAATCACAATTGGATTATCGAAAAATTTAATTTTTAACTCCTTTGACCAATAATAATAATTTTTTGATAAAAATAAAAAAATTTAAGTTAAACAGTGAAGGAGGTATTTTGGGAATAATGAAATTGGAGGGTAGTATTGCAAATTAATTTCTCGGTTGAAGGGTTTGAAAAAACCGTTCATTCCCTCTCTCTTCCCGCTCACTTTCTGTTATCTCTTTCACTCTACTCTCTCAAGTCTCACTGAAACGTTCGTTCACTCTAGTCTCTCTCGAGTTATCTCTCAAACCCTAATCATGTTCGATGTTCGAGTTAAACCCCTAATCGTTCATTGGCTGTCCAAGAAACCATGAAGTAACGGTTCGTTCACAAATCAAGTTCTTTATCTCTCAAACCCTAATTGTTCATTGACTCCAATGAACCATGAATTCCATTGCTATTTTTCTATTTTCTTGCTTGGTAGTTTCTTTCACCGACGCGAGATTACCTGGTGTATAACCAGGTTTGGGCCCCAACACTATTTGCATGGGATTTGCATGGGATGTGGCCGACGCAATTCGATGACCGATATAAGCCGGCGTACTGTGATCCTCAGAACGCCTCTTTGTTTCATCTTCGGCATCGCCGTGAGGTATCAACTTCTTTTAGTGTCACATTCTTGAAGAATTCAAAGTTTAAATTTAATTAATTTTCACATTATTATTTTATTTAGATCGATAGAAACCTAGAGAACCGGATGCATTCAAAGTGGCCTTCACTTACTTCGGATGATCACATCTTCTGGAACAACCAGTGGATTAAACATGGGTAAGATACATTAATGAGGTATTGGAATTTTATGAGGCCTATAAGCTTTTTATGGTGCTTATGTCAGCCGGGATAATACCGAAATACGAAGATGATATTATCGAGTTGCATACAAGATATACTTTCCAAAGGGCTCTTCGAAACATATACAGTTGAAGCAGCCGATTGGGAAGCTAATGGAGAAGTAGTAGAGCTAGTTATAGGTGTTGATTGCTTGAATTTAAATCAGCTATACTAGATTAGGGTGTGCAAGACTTCGGATTCCAATAATTTCAAAGATTGCCCTTATCAGGGCAATTGTCTAAGTATTCAGATATGTGAAGTACAAGGTTAATGAGAAACCAACACCACAGACTCTTATTCCGAAAAACATCATTTTGATCATACCAACAATTGGCAAAGGGATGAATTCTAAGGTGGGAGCAAAGATATCACAGGTTGGACCCAAGCCGACTGGTGTTGCGGGGTCGAATGGGAGGGTGTATGGGAGGGGATCTTATGCAACAACATTAAAAGATGGAAGCGCTAAGGTTAACACAAAACCTTTTCTCTTTTTTTTCCTTTTTGTTTTGGCAAAACTATAATTATTAACCATGTAGGGTTGGATTTATTTTCACGGTGATCGGTGGTTTGCAAATATCTGGAAGGGAAAAGAAAATGGAAAGGGGTGCTTTTACACTGGTGATGCCTTTTTTGGCAAAGACAGATGGCGGCTTGGAACGAGGTATAAACACGGTTAATTTAATTGAGTTATTTCCATGCATTTTATTTTACAGATGCTAATTATATTTCTTTGCCATCACATTTTAGTGAACCTATCAGTCAGAAAGTGTCTCCTTTAAAGGTTTTGGATAATGTCAATCTACTGCATAAGAGTAATAAGTCCTATCTGCCTCTATGTTGCAACAAGGTAACTTTCAAATTTTGCAAACAGGGATAAGCTTTGGGAGTCTTATATGTATCTTTAACCTCCATTGATCCATGATGTCCAAATTTAACAGGATTCAGAACTTAAGTCTTCCAATACCAGCTTAGAAGACTGTTCAAGATCTTTTTCTGGTTTTAGTTTTCCTGATGAGGACAGTTTAACACATGACGGACCTTTCTCGACCCTTGAAGTGCTTGAAGTGAGAATTCCACCTCGTATTGATAGTTTCATGTCTTCTCCTGAAAGCAATCTGATTGAAGATGATTTGGATAGTCCAGACTCAACTTTTGAGGATGATCAGCATCCAGGCTATGACTGTTCTGTAAAGGGAGCTCCTGGTAAGAAAATGTTTGCATAATATTTTGTTTGAGCACATGCTTTTATAAGTTAATGGGAAGTTAGTTTCATTGTTTATGATCGCTGTAATATGTTAAGAATGATTTGAAACTTGTTGATTCTAGTTGGCAACTAAAATATTGAGTTGTAGTTTTAGAGCTTATCCAATATTTTGAATTGCGGCCTCATTGATATCTTTGATATTGTGTTGAATTGCGGTGAAGCATATGTATGATTGGACTCTAATTGCGGTTGTAGGCATTAAAACCGCAACGTTGTGCTTAAAATCATGGTTGCATATGATTAGAATCTTTATGTAAATGGCATGAACTCCTCTAGATTAGGACTCAAACTTTGTTTCCCTGTCTTGTGTTTTTAATTATTCCATGTCAATTGGACTGGGAAGCATGTTTTTGTGAAGCTAAAATGGGGAATGGAGTATAAAAGTTGGTCCTTAGTTATATTGCAAATTTTCTACATGTTTCATTTCCCTGTTTAATCTGTTATCTTTAATAACATGTAGAATTAAACACAAAGTCCGATGATGCCTTTTTTTTGGCAATTTCAAAGACGGATGGCGGCTTGGAACGAGGTATAAACAGTTAGTTTAATTGAGTTATTTACCTGCATTTTTGTTTACCGTATGCTGATTATGTTTATATTTCTCTGCCAACCTTATAGTGAACTAGATTTTCTTAGTCAGAAAGTTTCTGCTTCAAAGGTTCTGCATAATGTCAATCTACTGCATAAGAGTTATAAGCCACCTCTATGTCGCAACAATGATAAGCTTTGGGAGTCTTATTTTTATCTTGAACCTCAATTGATCCATGATGTCCAAATTCCAAAGGATTCAGAACTCAAGTCTTCCAATACCAGCTTAGAAGACTGTTCAAGTTCTATTTTTGGTTTTAGTTTTCCTGATGAGGACAGTTTAATTACATATGACGGACCTTTCTCGACCCTTGAAGTGCTTGAAGTGAGAATTCCGCCTAGTTTCATGTCTTCTCCTGAAAGCAATCTGATTGATGATGATTTGGATAGTCCAGACTCAACTTTTGAAATGATCAAGAGTCTTATAGAATCTGTACTCGGCGGTGATGATTACGAGGACGATTATTATGATTTTGACAAGGATAATACCTCTATGGCGGAGCTGGTCCAGCATGGAATGTCTGCATAATATTTTGTTTGTGTCACATGCTTGTATACCTTAAAACTTGAACATGTTAGATTCTCTTAGTGATGGCAATGGAGTAATTGGCAGTTTTGAAGACAGGAAACTGGGAGAAAGTCAGTTCATGGGAGGATTCTACTAGTTGCAGACTTTCCACAGCGACTAGAAATTGTTAATATGGAGATAGGAATATTAGATGAATAGAATGTGATAATCCTTTGCTATTTTTCAAATTTTCTTGTGAAGAAGCCATGAATGCTCTGAAGCTGCTTTGTATAGATCTCCCCTAGCTAGTATACTAAGAAAACAAAAAACAAAAGTAGTTAGCTCCTAGTTACCACAGTGATATAGAAGTGTGTATATTTGAGACAATAGAAGGGAAAGGGACAAACGTTTGTTTCTCTGTATTCAAAGCACGTATAATGTTTGTATAAATTAATCTAAATGATCAAATGTAATAAACCTAACTCAAATAATTAAGACCCAAAATGATTATAACATTTAAAAGGTATAATATTAAATAATTATAAACAAAAACAAAACAAACTAAAATAGAATAAAATACAAAATGTTTGTATGCTAAATAATAAAAGAAAAGAATAGGAAACATAGGGTATCCACTCCCATCATTCACGTTCAACAAAAAACGGTAATGGGACTCCAAAAACCAAATTTTGCTGTTGAGTCAAAATAGCCACACAATTAACCACTTTCTACTTAAATTGAAGCAAGTAATTTATTTATTCCAAATTAAAGAGAAAAAAAAACAATTAATGAATAAATCTTGGAAACAAATAAATAAGAAAATGTAGCATCAACACTGAAAAAGTATCAAAAGCAAAGGTACCTTCCTCTTTCTCCAACGCAAAAATGCGGCTGCTCTTCACTTATGAAAAACTCTTTTCTTTCTATCTTATTCAACAAAAATCTTTACTCACCCACTAGCTTGGAGATCGATGACATCGCTACCTAAAGGCGATGGTCGGAAAGAAAATCGCAGGGGCGATCAATGGTTGTTATGACCAGGGCTTAATGACGTGGCTTCGTCTATAGTGGCTGCGCACGACGGTGGATTCGTCGGTGAGTTTCGTTTCTCCCTCTCACCTCATATTCTTCTTCCTCCAAGCTTCTCCTTGTTTCAGATTTCGCAGGTACTGGCGGGTGAAGGTAGTATAGCACGGCGGATAGATCCAGGGTTTCAGAAATTGAAACTCGGATCTCTTCTTCTTCTTCTTGCTTCAAGTTTGTTCGTTCGTCCCCCTCTGTATACTGTTTTGTTTTCTTGCTGCAATTTTTTAGTCTCTCCTGTACTGTTTTTTATCCCCCATCTTATAGCAATTAGGATTTTAGCATAATAGGAAATTTATTAAATTAGGTTTTTAAGCTTTAGGAAATGATTTGAATTTGTTGTATGTAATTATTGGACAGTTATTGAGTTGTTTTTTCGTTTTTGAAAACATTTCCAGATTTGGATTGATGTGCCTTATTACCATTTACTGCGTTTCAAAGAATTAGAATAACAAATCCATTACCCCATGCGTAGATGAATCTCTACGGTAAATGTTTTAAAAAAACTAGTAACAAATCCGTGCTATCGCACGGGTCTCGTCTGGATTCACATTACATTTATAGATTATTAAATTATTAAGTATGTTACCATGTTTTCAGTTGAGTATATGTCTCATGTAAACCATGTTGGCATTTAACTCCATATTTGTAACAAGCGTCGGTCCTATCAACAAATCACGTCTGCATGAACAAATAGGAAAAATTATATACTTCTTGAAATACATGGAAAATGTACATACTATATATTTTAATTCAAAATAGATTTTTAATTTGAATCGTAAAGTATAAGATATAAAGTTTACCAACTATCAAAGTGCTTGAAAGACTTTCTTGTACACAACATTAGTAGTAGTAGAACACGGTACATTCTCCTTGTCATGAATTATGATTTTTAGCCCACTTTTGCTCTTAACTCTTGAAATTGCAACATATAATTGACCATGACTAAACACAGGAGTAGGTAAATACAATCCAACACTATCAAGAGATTGACCTTGTGACTTATTAATTGTCATTGCATAGGAGACAATAATCGGAAATTGTCTCCTAATCAACTTGAATGGCCAAGGTGAATCAGAAGGTGACATAGACATTCGTGGAATGTAAAAAATGTTACCTATGTTCTTTCCAGACATGATTTTTGCCTCAATGACATGATTTGCAAATCTTGTAACAATTAATCTTGTTCCGTTGCACAACCCATCGGCTTGGTCCAAATTTCTCATTAGCATAATAGGTGTACCAACCTTCAATTTGATCCTATGATTGGAAAGCCCTGACGTTCTTAATTTACTGAGAAATTCAGGAGTTAGAACTTCATATGCTTCAGTATAACTTGAATCTGTTCTATCAATGGAATCAAAACTCAAATACTCTTTCTCTTCTCCTAAAAAAAAGTTTAAAAGCAAAACATAAGGTGGCTGCGGATCTGTGCGTAAAGCAGAAGGAATTAGTACAGTACCATCGAGAACTTACAATATACATTGTGAATACCTTCTTAACTCAAACAAATGCGGTGAGCCTGGCGGCGTCGCCGCGGATCTGCACGAAAAGCGCAAGGATTGGAGTTCGTGTAAGATGGCTGCGGATCTGTGCGTAAAGCATAATGAATTAGTACAGTACCATCGAGAACTTACGATATACATTGTGAATACCTTCTTAATTCAAACAAATGCGGTGAGCATGGCGGCGTCGCCGCGGATCTGCAGACAAAGCGGAAGGATTGGAGTCCATATAAGGTGGCTGCGGATCTGTGTGTAAAGCAGAAGGAATTAGTACAGTACCATCGAGAACCTACGATATACATTGCGAATACCTTCTTAACTCAAACAATTGCAATGAGCGTGGCGGCGTCGCCGCGGATCTGCATGCAAAGCGGAGGATTGGAGTACGTGTAAGATGGCGGCGGGTCTGTGCACAACTCAGATGGAATAAGAGCAGTGGTTTTGTTTTCATATGTCCTTAGGCGTTTTTGTAATTTTGTTTTAAGGAGAGCGGACTCGTTCAATGGTTTTGATTTTAGATATACAACTATTAAAAAATCCGTGGTATCATATGGGTCCTGTCCGAATTTCATATAATATAGAACTAACTTTGAATTGTAATAGATCATTCGTATATATTATTCAAATTTAAAATATTAAAATAATTTAACCAAAGTTCAAATTTAAAATATTAAAATGATTTTACCAAAGTTCAATCAATTAGAAAAAAAAATTAGTGTATCAAATTAATTTGCTTTCCATCGATAACATTAATGATAACAATATCGTATTTGAATTTTAGATATGAAGCAACCTGCTGTCCATAATTTGTGCAAAAATCAGACACCAAATATGCAAATAATTTATAAACAAAAACATTTGTGTTGTCGTGTACTTACCCATTAACAAAGCAATTGAAAAATTTCATTGTATACAACATTTGTAGTGATAGAAGATGATACATTCTCATTATCATGTATTAAGATTTTAAGACAACTTTTGCTTGTAACTCTTGAAATGACTACACACAATTGTCCATTACTAACAATTGCCCATTACTAAAAACATGAATATGCAAATACAATCCAACGGTATCAAGTGATTGGCCTTGGGATTTATTAATTGTCATTGCGTTAGAGACAATAATTGGGAATTTTCTCCTAATCAACTTAAATGGTCACGGTGACTCAAAATGTGACATAGACATTCGATGGATGTAAAAGATGTTATCTATGTTCTTTACAGGCATGACTAATAAATATAGACTAATAATATGCACTTGTTTTTTAAGCATTAGTATGTATTTATAATAAATCATACAGACTATTCACTAACTTCAATTATATAAGATTTAAAAGATGAATATTAAAATTAACAATCTATAGCCAGTATCTCATATATGCGTTCTCATCTACCCGTGAATTAAGATGATTTAACAAACCCAGTTGAATCCAAATGAATTAGTTCTAAAAATTTATTAAATCTATTTTAGATATCAACCCATTTTTCCAAACCTAAAATATATGACAACTCCCGTCAAATTTATACTTTTATATTATATGTGCTCACATCTACGTGAGTTAACGAACTTCAGTTGAATCCAAATGAATTAATTTTAAAAATTTATTAAACATATTTTATATATTAATCCATTTTTTCAAATTAAAAATGTATGACATCTCCCGTCAAATTTCAATTTTAAAACTTTTATATTATATCATATTTACATATTTTTTTACAACCTATAATGTATAACAGTTTCCCGTTAAATTACAATTATTTTTAAAAAGAACATAAAAAATAAATAAAATTTATAGATAAAACTATTGTATATTATTTTCTATATTTATTTAATGAATGAAATTTATTTTAGATGAATTTATTTTCTAATTTGTATTTAAAAATATAACTTAATTGTCATTTAAAACAGTACATTCAATTCTTTAACTTCAATTATATGGTATATCATAGATATATTTATTCTATCCGTGAATTTATTTCATGTACTTAGTTGGTTAATATTAATATAATTACAATATATAATCATTTATCAAATTTGAATTTCTCATTTATAAAAATAATTTTAAATTATTCTCGTTTATAAAAATGAACGTGTGTGTCTATTTATAAAAATATATGAAACTTATAAATCGTAAATATTTTATTAAAAATTGTAATATTTGTTTCTAAAATTATAGCAATTAAAAATTAAAAAATATCAATACAAAATAAAAATTTTATTCAAATTTCACGACAAATGAGAATTATAATTTCGATTCAAAATAAATTAGAATTTTGAAGGCACAACAACACCAACTTGTAGGTTATTATCTTCTCTTTAGGAGAAGAGAAATTCTATTTAAAAAAGATTGTAAATATATGTTAATTGAACGAAACTTAGAGTAGTGTGTTTGCTAGAAGCAATGCTACATTCAAAAGAACTTAGAATTTGGTGTAAAATAAATTCCATTAAAACATAGACCTACATAATTTGCAGTAGAAAAATATATTATGCTAAAACCAATGTTGATATGACATACAAAATATGAAGGCAATAATAATATACATATACATAATTTGAATCAAATCTTGTTAAAAACATTCTTCTATAGAACCAGAAAATGATCGCATATCAACGTTGGTTTTATCATCTTATACATCTTAGATAATTATTGCCTTGCTTATGGTTCTTCTGAAATTGGTAGTGAACTTCAGCAACACCCGCCACTCTTGAACCCTTAAAAACATATTACTTTAGAACTTCGGGTGAATAAGAGTCTCATCCCTTTGACTATCGTCATGTTCATCAAAATCTCGTTCCTCTTCCAAAAACAGTTCCTCCAAACATTGCAATGAGACATTTGCATTTGCTATCTGTCAGAAAATACAATTAGTATATAATCAGTACCTGCCAATGAAAGCCATTGATATTCCTTGTGGAAGCATAAAATTCAATGGATTCAATTTCCTAATCTTCAATTACGGTTGTAGATGGAAATCAAATGCTCGGGAAATCAAATCATCTGCACCATATTGAACATATATTTACTATTATAAGGTTAACTATCAAATAACTTGAATGAAAATATAAGTTAACATTTGGCTTTGATGATGAATCACATGTGAAAATCGACTCGATTAAGTAGATTTAAAATAGTGGTCTCTGGTTCTGTTGTGGCAGTCTCCAATTCTTCTTTAGCAATATTTTTGTTTGTGAAATTAGAGAAGCAAACGGTCACTCAGCCATGACCATGGTGAATATTGGCACTTAAAATGCTAAGACAACTCTGCAAACAATAATATTATAAAGCATTAAAACTAAAAACAAACTGTTTATTTCTTAGGCATGATAAAAAGCCACGCCATAAACTTCAGGCCAATTTGAATTCATGGGAGAAGGTCAGTGACAACCCTGTCCATCATTGCACACAATGAGTTTAGGAAGATCATTGGTGCAACAGATGTCCTGTTGACCCCCATAAGCTGAACCACTAATTCTCTCTCTATCTTCAACCTCGAAAACAAATGCTTGAATCGACCATGAAGTAAAGTTTGATAATTCCTTGTTAAGACAGATTGTGACTATATTAAACCTGTTTTCACATGACAAAATCAAATCGCAATCAGCATAATTTCATTTTACGTATCAATGTATAAAAATTAAACTGTGAAACAATCCGTTATTATTGGTCCCCTACTGATTCAAGTGTGAAATCAATTATCAACCTCCATATCCATACATATTCCAAAAGAAGAACCGATTAAATCAAGAAAATAAATACAAAAATCTCAATTAGATACAAATAAATATAATAGTAAGCAAAATAAACAACAAAATTGATGAGAATATACTGCCTTCTTTTATCAAACATGTGATGGGAGAAATTGAAATTTAAATAGATTAATAATAAATTGAAAGAGGAAGCAAAAGAAATAAGCTTCTATCTATTTGGAGAATCAATCGTAAATATATATGTGTGAGCTTTGTATTCACCAAGACTAAACAAATAAAAAAAGCCAAAACTCAACCTCATATTTTAATTAAAAAATTAAAAAAATTGAGAAATAAAATCTGAATAAAAAAAAACATACCTAACAGCAAAAAATAAACAATATCATGGTTGTGTTGTTCGTCACATGCAAGCTCAAAAATCCCCTTCTGCAACTCTCAAACCTAAAGATAAAGATATCCCATTTTAGGTGTCAAGTTAAGCTTTTTTTTTTTGGAAAAGGAGAAATAGTAAGACAACCCTGAAAACGAAAAGAATACAACATAAAATATGATATTCCAAACTACATTTCAGTTTCAACTTTCAATCACATGTTTCAATCACTTACCTTCGTCACTTACATATGTATGAATCAAATTAACGTTAAAAATTGCATTTGAAGGAAATTATTTTGTAGATCTATAACGGGTGTTGTTGGTTATTGATGTTGTTGAGATTCAGAGGTCTTGGTTGCGACCACCATTCTTACGCTTAAACGTCTGAAACAAATAAATTAACAGGTTAGGATGAGAATATTAGATGGTTGAGATTACAACGAAACGAAATTGGTAGCAACAAAGAGAGAAGAATGAAAAGAGATGGAGCGGCGCAAGAAGAAGATGAAATTAGGTAAGAAGATGAAATTAGATTTTCTGATTTGTGTTTTAATAGAGTTGGGTGAATGAGTTATTTGTTGCATCTTGGGAAAAACGATTTCTTTGGTTGTATAGATTTACCGTTTCAAGAACTCAACATTTATGATGGTTGTTCATCTTGTGCTGCCAATTTAAATCTTGCAACAAAAAACGTGATTAGGGTTTAGTGAAATAATTAGAATTTCAAAACTCAGTGTACGTAGCAGCTATAATATGAGTGTTTTAATTTAAATTTCAAATTGAATGACCTTTGATTTGGATGAGGGTTTTGGGAAGTGGTATGTATCACATAATTAGGTGTGATTATAACGTGTAAATATAAACAAAATGGCATAATTGTTGTTAGTTAGAAATAATTAAAAAAAGTAAAAAGTGGCAGAAAAAACCACATCAGCCATATTTATTGTCAAATCAATATGGTGCAAGTATTTCAGAAATTTACAAATATACCATTAGATTAAGACTAAATTGAAATTTACTAATTAGGGTATTATGGTAAGTTAATGGTACTTTGGTTTTCCACCATATATTTTTAAATCATGCAATGAATAATATTCCATTTAATTATAATATATCTAATTTGGCCATTCCAATTCCTTCCTCATTAACCGTGAGTCAAACATTAGAATTCAAATTCTGTAAAAAAAAAACATTGGAATTCAAATGTAAATAAATTAACCGTGAATGAAACATTGGAATTGGAATTCAAAATATAAATAAAATTCAAATATAAATAAAATAAATTAATAAATCAAATAAATAAAAAATAGTGTAAAATTATGATAGATTGACATGTCAGCAAAATTAAATGTTTGAGTCGTTGATGT